TGGAACAACACACCACACTACGCACGTCATATAGTATTGTAGTAACACTGAAACTTCTTAATTCCTCTTTGTCAGCCTTGATCGTATACTTCTTTGACCGTTTTTTGCTCAAATATTCAGAGTAGTGAGAAGTGTCATAACGTAAAATCTACATTAGTTATAAGATTTGAAATTGTGAAGTGACCCTGGAAACGTGGAGTCATTTACGCACCGTTTATGATGTAGGACGAGTGAATGAGGCGTAGCATAATCGCATTGAACTGATTTTTCAGAATACTTTTGAACTAGGAGACTAAGTAAAAATAGCTCTTTGTGTTACCTGAATGACAAGTACGTAGTAGACTGGCTTTCTTTTCAATTCAACCTGGTAGATCACGACCGAGTAAACACTCTGAACAAAATCACGAATTGAAATAAAGCTTTGTAAAGTCCACAAGTTTTATTTCAAACATAGCTATGCTTAAAAGCGTGGAAAGCTGAATTCCAGAGCTGATTTCAGTTATAAGGAATTAAATTCCTTTCTAAGCCACCTTGAAACTGACCCCGTCTGAAAAATCCGGTTTTGATTCAGAAAATGCTTTGATAGAACTCAAGTCCCACTCACTGTTTCCCTAAAGGTGTGTGCTTTGATGAAAGATAGAAACTAAAAATTTTCAAGCTCAAACCTCAAACTGTGTATCAACCCCTTCAATTCGGTCAACGGATGATTTCACAATCACCTCTGATATATCAAGATTCCATGGACCTGAAAATATCAAATGATAATGGGATCACGATGATTAAAGTTGAAAATGGAACTTAATAAACTTTGCTTAGGTATCTTATTTGAGCTTACCAACAAAGGCAAAACTTCAGAAATTTCTTCATACTATTGAAAACTGCGAAGTTATAGCCTATTAATGATTCTTCAGAGAAAATGAACTGAATTTCCTACTTGAAGTTTTAAAGCAAATACGGATGACTACATACCTATGGTTAGATTGCACATCTGTACGTCGTAAGGAAAGGAGTCAATGTGTAGAGGGCAAGGGTAAGTGACCTAAAGAGTGCATTATGTTTTGTCTCAAAAGGTTGTGTTCTCAGTTATTAGTTTTCTTTTACAAATTCCTTCAGCGATTTTCCTAGAAGTAATTGTTCAAGAAATCCAAGCCTTGTGTTTTTTGGAGTCTTACAATTGCTGGATTGGATATTCGAATTGTGCCATCATAACGAAGATCAGCCATTCGTTCTTCTTTTGGCATCACTTCTTCCACTTTCATCCTGGAAGATCACGATCTGCTTAAATTGACAATGCTTGGTCATCGTTTATAAGGGAAGAATTTGCAACGTTCCAGCAAATTTTGAGATGTTCTAAAATTT